CTTCTCCCGACGAAATTTTGTCGGGATAGGTCTATGCCGGCAAACATTTGTCGGATTAGGTTTCTCCAGACGAAATAACCTATGCCGACGAAATTTCGTCGGGAGAGGTCTTTTCAAAAAATATATATATAAACTTAGGATGTTTAGGTTAATTAATTTTTTTAAATTTTATTTTTAGTAATTAAATAATATATTTGAGTGATTTAATTTGTTAAATTAGTAATTATATTTTAATGATTATTTATGAAGTGAATAATTAGTATTAAATATTTTAATTAACTTCATGAATTATATTACTTAATAAATAGTAATTCAATTTTTCTTTTTCTTTTTTTCCTTTAATATTCACTAAGTAAATAATAACTCAAACATGATTTCTAATCAAAGTAATTGAAAAAGAGGAATACATATTATGGTACTTAAAGGGTTTGTAGAATAGTATCGCCGCGCGGCTATACCTTTCTTAAAAACATTTAAAAACTGAGTATAGCCGTGCGGCTGTACTATTTTTATATATAAAGAAAGAGGACCCAGTCATCTGGCACCGCGTGTCAAGACAATTCTATTTTTTAAAAAAACTAAAAATACAGAGTATAGCCGGTCGGCTGTACTTTTTTTTTTGAAAAAAAGAGGGCCCTCCAGCGATTAGGCGCCACGTGTCATATAGCAGTTTCGGAAAAATAATCGTAGTACAGCCGCACGGCTATACTATTCCAAAAGGTCTATCTTTACTATTTAATATACAAATAAAAAAATAAAAATAAAAAGGACCCTTCAAGTTTCATTAGTTTGTACTTTATAGATATTAATTTGCTAGTTTCAACATATCCAAAGTAGATATTAATCAGCCACTATATAATATTTTCGTATAATTTTTATAACATATCTTATTCTTATCCAATAAGCATTAGAAAAACATACGCACATGATATTCCGCATCTGATATGGTTGACTAAAACGGAAAGCATCTGATATTCCGCATATCGACCACCCGATTATTTGATTTGATTTGATTTGATTAAGTCAATTCGATTTGATTTGGTCCAAAATTGATTTGCATTTCTTAAGTTGTAGTTGTTTAAAAGAACATACAATTGACTTTTAACAATACAAACAATCACATACCGTACCACTTTTTATCAAATGATTTAACAAGGTCATTAATTAGCAACTCTAGATCTAGAACTCACCTTTGAGAGTATTGACCAAATTCTTTAAAGCAAACAAGTTGCAAAAAACAAAATCTACTTCGTTAGAATCAAGCTTGACAAAATCTGTGTATAACAATGCTTGCTTTTTGTCAAGTCGTGCTCGCCTTTGTAGTTCAATGGTTGCAAGGCAAAGCGGTTACGGGGCCTAGGCCTAAAGGACAAGGTTTGAGTAAGAAGCATAAGTTGAGGTACTTCAACAACAGTGTTGGTAACAGGATTAAGTGAACGTAGCATAGCAGAAACTGGGTTATCAATTATGTTTAGAGAGGTCTTAGATACGCTACGGATGTGATAAAGTGATTTTATCGGTAGTCTTGTAAGGATGTCGAGGAGGATATCGTTGGATAGGTCCATTAAGGATGACTGCTCATTTTCCTTAGCCCTCGACTTCTCCAATCCTAATAATGAATTTAAATATAAGTATTGAGCTCATCACATACATCGTTGATAAGAATTGTATTATTTACCCAAAATAAAAACACAAACAAGTATCACACTTGATGTCATACAGTTACATGTTCAAGTAAATTAAATTGTAACAACAAATCAACAATACTTACTTTTTATTGAAAATATTAAAAGATGCGGCATCAAAATTAATAGAAGATTGATGCATCCGGTTACAAAGTTTCTTCCAAATTTTGTGTCGAAAGCAGTTTCTTCCAAACTAGCAACTATCAAGGATTCCCTTCATCTTAGTCCCAGCGATCTTCGTGAAGAAATAAGAAACAAACAATTAATCAATAAATAATCAAGGGGACATAAATGACAAATTTAGGCTTTCATTTTATGGCGTTTCTGGAATGGTAGTAGTTTACAGACATTATTGTTTTAGGGGTAAATTAGTAAATTTGCATCATCGATACTAAGTTCTAACCTCAGATTTGGGCCAAATTTGAATTGGACCTTGCTCAAGCAAATATCGGCCGCTAAATTGCCCATTTGGACTTGGGTCAGAACAACAAAACCTTAAATATACTTCTTATGAACTGATGAAAAATAAAACGTTGCATCAGCCGCAATGAGCATACGCATGCTTAACTCTACAACTATCGCCAGAGGAAAAACATCTAAGACAATGCTGAGAAACTACAATGGCCTCACTTGAACTGACCATATATAGCACAATGAATAGTTTCATATCAGGATAGAGTTCAAACAACGACGGCAATCATGTACTTGGAATCAACCAAAAAAATTAAGCAGAGGCATGAGGTAGAGGGGCAGAAGAAAGAAAATTTCATTTTCCATTTAGATGACAAATGCCATAATATGTATTTCACCTTCATCGAGGAGTTACCTATGCAATACATCTCAATATATGCATAACAAAAGATTGTGCTAAAACTGCCAAAAAACAAAGAGCACAATCAATTTGAACTACGTACGGCATCAAACTACGGATTGAAAGATTTTGAGTCGATGAGAGGAGAGAGCACAATCAATTCTTTTTTCTTCTCTATATAAACAAATATTTATATATATATATATATATATATATATATATATTTAACTACTTTAAATTAATTTAATTTAATCGAGGGAGGGGATTTGATGAGCTCAATCTTAACCAACTAACCTATAAAAAATAAAAAATATATATTTTTGGTATTTGTAAGTATTCATGAAAGGATTTGTCAAGGGGAGGCCCTGGACCAAGCAAGCAAGACAGCCGCCTAGGGCCCCCAAATTGGGAGGCCCCGAATTTGTATAATATCATATATACATACCTATTATTTAAAAAAAACAATATCATATAAATACTATGTTAGGCCCAAACCAATTATTATAAATAAATAAATAAAATCCACTTAATAATTCAATTCAAAATTAAACGAGGAAATTCAATAAAGACCCACTCATTGTATAAAATAAAAAATAAAAAAAACTTGCCGAATAACTCAAATCAAAATTAAAAAGAGCAAACTCAATAATGCAAAGAAGACAAGTTGAAGAAACCAGAAAATCATTTTCTTTTTCTCTCTATATTTTCCAGATTTTGACACATTTGGGGCAAAAGGGTTTTAGGATTTTGTAGATAGAAAATGGAGGTCTTGCAGAGACCCGCATGATTGTATTGGACAAAGTCATTCGCTTTTGCAAAGATTGAGCAAATTCAAATAGGGTTATAAGAAAATAAAAAACAAAAGTTAACTATATTTAGACTTATAGACATGTGTCAAGTTTTTAGGAGGGTGGTGAGGCTACACCTTTGGTTAAAGTGGTGAACATAATGCTCTCTCAAGACAATGGATTACAAATATGAAAGAAAAAATAGATGATTTGGATCGTTGAAAAAAAATTTATAGGGCACCTTAAATGGTGTTTATTGAGGGATTACTCAATAGAACAGTATTATAAAAAAGAGAGGAAGAAGAAGAAAGCTGGTGGATAGAGAGAGATAGAGAAAGAAGAAAAAAAGAAGGGCTTCTTAGATCTAGGTAAAAAACGATTAGCTGCCATTGGGTTTAGTCCATGCGTTTTTGGTTTTAGATGTAGGTCCTCTGACATTTATTACTTTTTTTTGTTGTGTTGATTTTATCCTTTAATGTAAATAAGGAAAATACATTGAAAATATAAATTTAATACATTATTTCCTTGTAATTGCATTTCATAATTTAAATTTTGAATTATTTCCTTGATAAATTGTGTTACCTATAAGTTATGAACATAAATTACAAGACTACCTATAAATTAAGAACATAAATTAGAAGACTACCTATAAGTCAGATACAAAAATAGACAAATAAAATTTTATGTTACCTATAAAAATTAGAACATAAATTACACATTGTCGAAAATATGAAGAAAGAAAAAAACACATATATACCTATGCAATAGGCAATGAGACAATATACCTACACTGTAAACAAATGCATTTTTTCCTTTGTCAAAACATTTAGAGTTCGAAGGAGCATGATTGTAGGTAAAAACGTGATTTGGGGGATATGTTTGCTATATTTTCCTTTCTATTCAATGCCAAACGTTGTAAATAGCTAATTATTATGACATAAATGAATATTATCCGATTCAAGTTATAAGGGGTAACATTGGAACAAAAATAGTTTTAAAAATAAATAAAAAAAAAGATTACATCAGAAAATATTAAAAAATAAATGTAATCCTATGTGGCACAAAAATCAAAAGGAGACTTTGGAAAAGGCCAAAGGAGAGAGAAATTTTTTAAAAGAAGCCAAAATAGACAAAAGTGCCCTTATTTATTTTTGGATTTCCTAAGGAATCCTTTACATTTGCATGTCTTTTGTGTGAAAGTTGAGAGGTTTTTCTGTCATTTTCGAAAAAGCTTTGGCTTTTTCCAAAAGTAAAAAAAAATTTGTGGCCAAAACCTAAATTTCCTAAAATTCAAAGGACTTACATCAAATGATTAAACCCAACTCTCAAATGAGAATTTAAATTTATATAAACTTTTCTGAAAAAAGAAAGAGAGATAGAGAAGACCGAACTCAGTGAAAGGAAGGAAAAAAAAAAAAGGAAGAATAGATATCCAATTTGGATTTTACCTGCTTTTGTATCTTTATACCTTTTTGGGTTTTGAGTACAACAAGCATTAGGACAAATTTTATACCCTTTTGGGTTTTGAGTACAACAAGCTTTTGGGTTTTGAGTACAACAAGCATTATGACAAATTTTATACCCTTTTTGGGTTTTGAATACAACAAGCATTATGACCAAAAAAAGATATCCAATCCGAAGCGTTCAAATCAAATCATCCCACGATCCAAAATAGAAATCCGGAACCTTCCGCAACCTCCATATATATATAAACAAGCTTCACAAAGTACTAATATCTTACCCGAGTCTAGCGCCAAATCCTTAATTCCCAAATTAGCTCTAAGCCCCGACCCTAAACTCCCAAATTAGTCTGACAGCCCCTCTCTCAAACCCCCTAAGCCCCAACCCTCTTAATTCCCAAATTAGTCTCACACACTGTCCCTCTCAAACCCTACCACCACTCCGCCGGCGCCGATCACCTCCTACCGCTGCAGCAGCCCTTGTGTTGCCAACGCCTCCCATAATTTCCAGTGAGTAGAATTTATATTTGTAATGAAATTGATATGTGAAGTGTTTTTATGGATTAGAATTTATTAATATGATATTGATATTGATTGATGTTGTTATTTTGGATTAGAGTTTATAATTGATTAATTGCCATGTTTTTGTTTTTTTGTTTTTTATTTTATTTTATATTGTTATGTTTCGACGGTGGACAATTGTTGTTGAAATGTGAGTGAACAGCCGATTGTCATCTCAAGCCCGATTTCCGCTGTTCAGTTCTTTCTCAGCCAAATTCATACTTCTGTAGACATCTCAAGACTAATTCTGTCCAACTCTCAAACAGTTACAACTTTCCTCTTCTTCTCTGTCACTATGAGTAGCGAGCCTTGAGCTTTTGAATTTGCACTCTTTTGTTTTTCGGTTCCTGCAAAAAAGGAAAGAGATAGGGTTGCTGGATCTTATATGCTTTTTTATCCACAGGTTGTCGGCCTTGTAGATACAGAATTTTGTTTTGGTTTATTTTAGGATTCGTGGTTTTGCTACTGTCCTGCATAACCTTATTGCCAAATTGATGCGGCAAAAGCGAAGCATCTCATAGATCAAATATCATCAAGGTGAAAACGTGGTATCTGAAGAAACACCAACAACTAAGATCTGCATATTTGCTCTGCATGAGGAGCCCTACTTATGAAGTTAAACAGCGCAGGCTCTGTTTCCTCTCTTGGCTTCCGCTTCGTATTTTGAGAATAATTGTATACATTTAAAGTAAGTTTTGTTAACCGGAACGGGAGAGCTGGTTGTGTATCCACGCAGACGAAATCGGATCGGAGTGTGATAGCAGAGGACAAGTGCAACATGTCGAGTGAAGCGGTGAAGCGGATTTTAAAGGAGTATAATGGAATTCGAACCAATCCCTCTGACGATTTCGTGTGCCGCATGCTCGAGCATGACCCATTTGAATGGTTTTATGCATTCAGAGGCTGTAGGGGAACTGAATTCGAGCGTGGGATTTATCATGGGCATCTCCGTTTTTCGAAGTATTACCCATCGGAGCCTCCTTCAATCAAGCTTTTGACAGAAAATGGTCGCTTCAAAATCAAAACCGAGATCGGATTGAACTGGCAGCCAGAATGGGGGGTGCGAGAAGCTATACTTGAACTTAGTCGTTCTATGGACACCTATCCAGATGGTAAATTGGGTTCAGTAAAATACGATAAGGAAAAAAGGCTTACCCTGGCCATGAAAGCTTTTCAAGAAGCCCCAGAATATGGCACTGCTGAACATCAAAAGTTAATTGATGAGAATCATAAAGATATGCTAAGCAAGGCACACCCTCTTCGTGTTCCTCCTCAACTGAGCCGTGTGCATGAGCATTCCCAAAATGATGGAGCCAACAGAAATCACGGCACAGGCGGCGGCTCTGTTGGCAACAACAACGTTATTGGTAATATATTTCTTGCTGCCAATGCCAACGGGGTAGGAGTTTCGGGTTCTATGAATGACTGCTCCGGCGAAGGCCCCAACCCCAAGAAACAAAGACGTTCTTGGTTTTGGTGAAGAAAGCAAAGTAGACGTCGGCGAAGAGTGATGAACTAACTGAGGTGATCAAGTTCTGTAGCGTAGGCCTCTTTTTGTTAATGGAAGTTAGTTGTAATATATTGAAGGCAATTGGCATTCTAGTTTACCACCGTGATTTGATTTCAACAACTTTGTTGTCATAAGCTGAGAGAGAGTACTGAACATTGCAATTCTGGGCTCTTGCATTTATTCTTCTTTCATATTACAAATCTTTGGGCAATAAATACCCTAGGCTTATTTTGATGCGAAGTACGGGCTTGCTACGAATTATTGTTTTCTTTTTCCCCATGGCGGGCTACAAGCCTTTCTGAGCAGTTTAGGGGCGGCACCTTGTTATTTTCGGCCCATTGGATTACGACCCAACTCAAAGTTTACAAAAATACTTCAATCAATCACAACTAAAACGCCATGGTTTTCATAAGATTCATGCTGAGCCAGTTGCAAATTACAGCCCAGTGCAGTAATGATGGGAAGCTTGCTATCGACGCAAATCAAGTGAGAAGTAGTTGATAGTGTTAAAGCCAATAGTGTTGCAGCAACTCTGATGGTTTTCAATAGCTGATGTTTTCGACGTATTTATAAAAAACAAAAACACACGAGAACAAGACGATTTGAAACATTATTTCCCCACAGCTAAACACATGTACCAAGTTAAACGAAAACTCTGCAAGCATTCTATTATATGGAAGCTTCAATTTCATCTCAAGCCACTGCAGCTCCGTTTGGGGCATCGTCTGCATGCAGCTAAGTAGAAACATAGTCTATGGCAGAGTTTAGCTGTGCAATATTCTCAGCCAGTATTTTGCGGGTTTTCTATCGTCATAAAACAAGCAAGCAAAAACATATAATTCAGATCAAATATGAAAACTAACATCCCAGATAATATGATCCAAATGCTTCAGGGCATTGACCAATCAACACCCTGTAGATATTTATGTATTGCAATTCAAAGTCAGACCTTGGTGTTCATCTCACCAATGGCCTAGGAAAGCACAAGTTAAATTCCCCTTTTCCCTTTACCCCCCTCCCTTCTTTCTTGTTGCTAAAACAAAAAAAGTAAATACGGGAACAAAATAAATTCTCACCTCAAGAGCTTTCTCTTCATCATAAATAAACTTTGGTAGCTTCCTCATCAAATCTTTTATGTTGGCTCCATCTAGCGCCTTGCTTATCAGGAAAGATGATATGATATGCCAGTCAAATGCATGCTTTAGTGTCAATATAAAGGTTGTAAAGCCCATAAAAACCACATCCATGGCTCATCTCCAATAATCAATTAATACACCACCATATAACTACATAACTTTACCAATCCTCAACTTTGGAGGGGTTTTTGGTTTTGGGGGGAGCAGAATCTATGTCCTATAGGCACAAGAATCAGACTGCGGTAACATTCTAAAGCCAAGCAATAGACGATGAAGAGATATTCAATCAGGAATCATTAATGTAGGAAAGGGAATGCAAATACAGACACATAGAGACCTAATGCAATGGTAGATACAAAAGGTGAGTACTTCAACCATACCTGAGGCTCATATGCACAACCTAACGCTCCAACAACAATTCCCCCCCCCCCCCCCCC